GAACCGACATAGAAATCATAAATGGTTCAATTTCCTCCATGCAAACCATAGTTAACAGAGTGAATGAAACAGAAAATAGAGTATCAGGTACCAAAGACAAAATGCAGCAACTGGAAATAAAAGTCAGATATAGAAAAAAACAACTCAACATATGTCAAAAGGGGGCTGGGAAGGTGGCTCAGTGGTAGAGTGCTTGCTGGAAGTGGCGCTGTGGCTCAAGTGGTAGAGTGCTAGCCTGGAGTTCAGGCCCCAGGACTGACAAAAAAAAAAAAAAAACCTAAATGAATTCTTAAGAAAGGGAATACAATCCGAAAAACACGATAGATAGATAGATAGATAGATAGATAGATAGATAGATAGATAGATAGATAGATAGATAGATAGATAGATAGATAGATAGATCAGGGATCCACATCAGACAGTTATCACTAGAAGACCAACTTAGTAAGCACAGGAAGAAGGGAAAGAAAAAAAACTTATGAAAGCAGGAAAACGACAGGAACACAATGAACCTCTCTATAATCCCCATTAATATTAATAGACTCAATTTACCAATCAAAAGAAAAAGAACTGCAGGTTGGATCAGAAAACAAGATCCATCTATTTGCTGTCTTCAAGGGACCCATCTCATAGCCAAAGATAAAAACAAACTCCCAGGGTAGGATGGAGGAAGATCTACCATGCAAATGTCCCAGCAAGAAGGCAGGAGTTGGTATCCTGATATCTTACAAAATAAACTTTTCATTAAAATACAAAAAGACAAAGAAGGACATTAATACAGGGAACAACCCAAGAAGAGGATTATCACTATCATCAATTTATACTCTCCAAACATTGGGGCACCCAAATATGTTAAGCAAATATTCTCAGACTTGCAGGGAAAACTAGCTCCAAATACAACAATACTAGGAGACTTTAATACTCCACTCACCAAAGAACAGGTGTACCAACCAGAGGTTTGGCAAAGGTGCCGCCAAATTAAATGATGCCATATCTCAAATGGACTTAATTGACATCTACAGAGTTTTCCACCAAAAAACAACCCAATACATTCTTCTCAGCAGCTCATGGAACTCTCTCCAAAACAGATCATAATTCATAAAGAATTTAAACGAATACAAGAGGATCAACATAATCCCCTGTATTCTATCCAATCTTAGTGAAATCAAGCTAATTCTCAAATACATGGAAATTGAACAGCAGCACACTTCTAAAGAACACCTGGGTCACAGAAGAAATTTACAAGTCCTACAATTCAATGAAAATGAATATACATCACAAAGTAACCTTTGAGACATAGCAAAAGCAGTCCAAAGAAGCAAATTCATTGCTCTCAGTGCACACATCAAGAAAACAGAGACAGAACAAGTAAATAATCTCATGATGCAACTAAAATGTCTAGAAAAGCAAGAAAATAGAATCCAAAGTTACTAGATGGAGCAAGATAACCAAAATAAGAGCTGAAATAAACGAAACAGAGACTAAGAAAACTATAAATAAAACAAAAAGCTGGTCTTTTGAAAAAAAAAAATCAAAATCAACAGACCTTTGGCAAAATTAACTAAAAAGAGAGGAGACCCAAATCAATAAGATCAGGGATGCCACAGGAAAAATTACAACAAACATCCGGTGCCAGTGGCTCCTGTAATCTGAGCTACTCAGGAGACTAAGATCTGAGAATCACAGTTCAAAGCCAGCCCGAGCAAGAAAGTCCATGAGACTCTCATCTCCAATAAACCACTAGAAAACCAGAAGTGGCGCTGTGACTCCAGTGGTAGACAGCTAGCCTTGAGCTGAAGAGCTAAGGGACAGTGCCCAGGCCCAGGATTCAAGCCCCATGATCGGGAAAAAAAGGAAAAATGAGCCAAGATCAAAAACCACATGTTTAACTCCATTGACATGGAAAAGGCCTTTGATTAAAATACAACATCCATTCATATTAAAAATTCTGGAGAAAATAGGAATAGAAGGAACATTCCTTAAAACAATTAAAGCCATACAGGACAGACCAATAGCCAATATACTAAATGGGGAAAAACTAAAATCAAGAACAAGGAAGGATGCCTACTCTCTCCACTCCTCTTCAATATACTTCTGGAATCCTTAGCCAAAACAATAAGGCAAGAAAAGGACATTAAAACGATCCACACAGGGAAGGGACAAATTAAACTATCCCTATTTGCAGATAGCATGATATTATGCCTTAACAATCCCAAAACAAAGCAATCACTAAATGAGCAAGGGAGCTAAAGAGAGACTTCTCAGAAGAAGAGATAAAAATGGCAAAGAAACACATGAGGAAAAATGTTCATCATCCCAGGCTGTAAAGGAAATGCAAATAAAAACAACCCTGAGATACTACCTTACCCCAGTCAGAATAGCCCATATTTTAAATTCAGCCAATGACAAATGCTGGTGAGGATGCGGAGAAGAGGAACCCTACTGCATTGCTAGTGGGAATGTACACTTATACAACCACTTTGGAAAGCGGTCTGGAGGGTCCTCAGAAAGCTAAATATAGACCTCCCCTATGACCCAGTCATACCACTACTAGGCATCTACCCTGAGCAACAGGAACCAGGATACAAGTACACATGCATCTCCATGTTCACTGCAGCACTGTTCACAATAGCCAGGATATGGAAACCACCCAGATGATCCACTACAGATGAATGGATCCAAAAACTGTGGTACCTACATACAATGAAATATTATGTAGCCATTAGAAAGGATGAGCCGGGCACTGGTGGCTCACGCCTGTAATCCTAGCTACTCAGGAGGCTGAGATCTGAGGATCGCGGTTCAAAGCCAGCCCGGGCAGGAGAGACCGTGAGACTCCTATCTCCAATAAACCACCAGAAAACCGGAAGTGACACTAGGTCAAGTGGTAGAGCGCTCGCCTTGAGCTGAAGGACAGCGCCCAGGCCCAGAGTTCAAGCCCCACGGCTGACCAAAAAAAAAAAAAATAATAATAATAAAAAATAAAAAAAGAAAGGACAGATAATGGCATTCTCAGGGAAATGGATGGAGCTAGAACAAATCATTTTGAGTGAAGTAAGCCTTGAGCAGAGAAACAAACAGCACATGGTCTCCCTAATATGCGAGTGTTAAAACCAAAATGCAAGGACTCAAGAAACAAAGGATCTCTACTTAATTTGTTGTATCATTTTTAAATGACTCCATGTTCTTGACCACATATATGGTGTGGGTGTAGGTATGGGCACACGCGCATGTGCGTGCATGCCTGAGGATAACTAGGAGGGCACAGAATCAGAGAGAAATGGGAAAATATACAACAGAGGGGCCCATTAGCTGCATGGACATTGATGAAAATGAAGTAAGCAACTCAATGGCAGTGATGAGAGGGAGGGACAGAAAGAGGTTAAGAGGGAACAGTTTACACTAAGCAAAAGAAATGTACATTATTACCCCATGCGGAAGAGACAGTACTGTCAAAGCTCATAGAATTCACACACACTATAGACCATGATAATGACAATTTGCCTTGTGAAGGTTAAAAATATTTGCAGCCAGGTGCTGGTGTCTCATGCCTGTAATCCTAGCTACTCAGAAGGCTGAGATCTGAGGATCTCGGTTCAAAGCCAGCTCAGCAGGAAAGTCCATGAGACTCTTATCTCCAATAAACCACTCACAAAACTGGAAGTGGTGCTGTGGCTCAACTGGTAGAGCACTAGCCTTGAGCTGAAGGACAGCACCCAGACCCAGAGTTCAAGCCCCATAACCAACTTCAGCTATAGTCTCTTGGAACAATTCAAAAATCGGTCACCAATAAATATTAAAATCCACTTACCACACTACGAATGCTGGACTCTAAGACTTTGGCAACAAAGGGCACTACATATAGCAATTCTTGCTGTCCTTTAACATAAGCCTCTAGCAGCAAAGATTTCACATCCAAATCCTAGGAAAAAAAGATATTTTCAAGACTTGGTGGTATCTACTACCCAAAAATAAAGTTCAAGATAAAGCATTCAAAAATTATACAAGGAAAGGCATCTCACAGAGCTTCTTCTCCAAATACGAATCAATATAGTATCAGAATCTTGCATTAGAAAAAGGAAGCAGTAAATAACATTACAACTTGTTGGCTTTCCTATAGCCAGTAGCATACTGTTAGATCATAGGTAGAAAAACAGGAATTCAAAATAGGCCAAAATCTTACAAAAAAAACCCAAAGTAATCATTAAAATAACCCCACAAAGTCGAGATGTTTAGATATAATACACTGTATGAATATTTTCAAACTGTACATAAATCTTCAGCTGAAACTCACAGTATGTAAGATGGGCTTATTTTTAGCTAATGTGATCATTCCCAGCCAATGTCCCAAATTCTTCAGCAAAGAACGATCTGAAAAATTGGCTGCAGCTTTATCAGAGGTTAGGAGCACCTAAAATAGTATAAAATCAAAAAAGAAATGACAATAAATTTAAGAAAATTCTCGATTCAATGTTTGAGAATTTTATTATTTGTTCTTTTTTTTTTAGCCATTATTTCCAACAACATGCCCAAAGTAATTGTTACATATGACCTATTATTTTGCTTTGTTCAACAGAAAACAGTGGCTTTTTTGGGGGGAGTGGGGGTCCACTGTGGGTCCACTGGGCGCTGTCCCTCCGCTCTTCAGCTCAAGACTAGTGCTCTACCACTTGAGCCACAGTGCCACTTCTGGCCTTTTTTGCTTATTTGGTGCTGAGGAATTGAACCCAGGGCCCCATGCATTTAAAGCAAGCACTCTACCACCAAGCCATCTTCCCGGCCCAACAGTGGCATTTTTAATAGTAAGTCTTTTAAGGGGCTGGAGATATAGCTATAGTGGTTGAGTGTGTGCTTAAAATGTGAGGGCGCCAAGTATGATCTCTAATACAAATGAGTGAATGAATGAACAAACAACCAAGATCTTAAATTTTACCTCAGCCCCGGTAGGAACTTTCTGATACATGACTATCCTTACTACCAGATAATAAAAGCTAAAGATTTCATGTCCCTTAACTCCACAATGCAACAACTGAATGTCACATATCAGCTGTGCAACAGAAAGAGCCAGGAATTCTTTTGCACTACAGCGTAACCAAGAATGAGGAAAATCTCATCATAGGTTTAAATATAGTGCTGGTTTCTAATACAATCCCAAGTCACTCAACAAATAGTGATTGACAATTGTTTTTTGTTTTTTTTTTGGAGTCCGGTCGTGGGGCCTATCCCTCAGTTCTTCAGCTCAAGGCTGGCACTCTACCACTTGAGCCACAGCGCCACTTCCGGCTTTTTTCTTTCTTTTTTTTTTGGGTCCGGTCGTGGGGCCTAACTCTGGGCCTGGGCACTGTCCCTCAGCTCTTCAGCTCAAGGCTAGCACTCTACCACTTGAGCCACAGCGCCACTTCCGGCTTTTTTTCTTATGTGGTGCTGAGGAATCAAACCCAGGGCCTCTGGCATGCAAGGCAAGCACTCTACCACTGAGCCACCTTCCCAGCCCCCGGCTTTTTTCTTTGTGCTTATGTGGTGCTGAGGAATCGAACCCAGGGCCTCATGCATGCAAGGCAAGCACTCTACCACTGAGCCACCTTCCCAGCCCAGTGATTGACAATTGTATACTAGTTTGTACTTAAAAAAAATTTTTTTTTCCTTCTAAAAAGTGACTTAGAAATTAAAAACCCTTAGCTACGTGCCAGTGGCTGATGCCTAATTAATCCTAGCTACTCCAGAGTCTGAGATCTGAGGATCGAGGTTTGAAACCAGCCTGGGCAGTAAAGTCCATGAAACTCCAATCTCCTCTTAACAACTAAAAAGCCAAAAGTGGAGCTGTGGTTCAAGTTGTAGAGTACTAGAGCCTTCAGCAAAGTAGTTCAGCATTAGTGCCCAGACCCTGAGTTTGAGCCCCAAGAACAGCACCAAAAAAAGTGGAGAACTAAGATCATACTGCAAATAAATTCCAGAATGGGGAAACAGAAACAGTGATGCCAGATAGAATATGTAAAGTAATATGCTATTGTTATGTGTAACAGATAATGAAATTCTAAAATCAAGGGAAAATGAAAAATTTAGAATAATTACATCCAATATAAAAAACACAAATGCCTATAAGATTAATCTTTTTGAAATTTAGGTCTACATTTGAAGCAAAACCTAGAGCAATTTCCATAGACCTTTACTATAACAATATAGGAATAGCTAAATGTTAAGTATTTTCCAGTTTAAACCAATAATTAAAGGAAATACAAGAAATAACTCTTACTTTGATATTTCTGTAGGTTTCATTCAGAACCATCTTATTAAATTCAGGATTCTTCAGTGTATCAAGGAAGTTTGAATATAGGCTGTGAAAGTTTGGCTCAATACTGACTCTCTTCATAACCAGATACTGTGAAACCCAAGGCATAAATTCTTCCTTCACGGTTTCTTTTAGTTCTTCAACCTAGCCAATTAACAAGACATATACAGCATAGAATTATACTAACATTGCATAAGGTTTGGATTCTATAAATCATTTTATAACACAAGACTAAGCACCAACCTTTGTTTTTCCTATGACAATTGATGCTATGCATTATAGTATTATGCTCTATTATAATATACGGTCAATTCTCAGCTTGTGTTAATCACTCACAATTTCAACTATTACATCAATAAATCACTTTTAACATTAAAATTATAAAACATACAGTCCACGCCATTAACACACCTTCACCTAATCTCATATTACTGTCTAGTTTGCCATTAACAAATCCACCCCAAAACTCGTTATCTAAATTTCCATCTCCAAAACTCACCTATATTAACACTGGAGGTGTGGCCTAGGTGGTAGAGCATAAGGCATAAGGCATAAGGCAGCAGAAACTGAGTTAAAGGTCCTGGTCTTGCACACACCAAAAAACTCAGAAACAAAGAGGCTGGGCACCAGTGGTACACACCTGTAATCTCAACTACTAAGGAGACTGAGATCTGAGGATCTCAGTTCAAAGTCAGCCAGGCAGACTCTTATCTCCAGTTCGCCACTCAAAAACTGGAAATGGCACTGTAGCTCAAAGTGGTAGAGGGCCAACCTTGAGCTAGAGCACTGAAGGACAAGGACAGCTCCCAGGCCCTGAGTTCAAGCCCCAGACCAATCAAAAAAAAGAAAAAGTAACCATCATCATCTGTAAATCTGACTTTTTTTCAAAACAGAAAATTAAGCCATGTGCAGTGGTTCCCACAAATCCTAACTACTCAGAGGCTGAGATCAGTAGGACTGCAGTTAGAAAAGCCAACCTGACTGGGTACCGGTGGCTCACACCTGTAATCCTAGCTACTGAGGAAGCTGAGATCTGAGGATCACTGTTCAAAGCTAGCCTAGGCAGAAAAGTCCGTGAGACTCTTATCTCCAATAAACCACCAGAAAACCGGAAGTGGTGCTGTGGTTCAAGCAGTAGTGCGCTCACCTTGAGCTGAAGAGCACAGGGACAGTACCCAAGCCCAGAGTTCAAGCCCCATGACCAATAGGGAAGGGAAGGGAAGAGGAGGAAAGGGGAGGGGAGGGGAGGGGAGACCCTTTTCTCAACCAACAGGTGTGGTGATGTCTGTCAACCTAGCAACTTAGGAAGCTGAAATAAAGACGACTGTGGTTCTATGCTAGCCTGAGTAAAACAAAATACTATACTGCATTCAACATAGGTATAGCTGATTCCATCAGCTTCAGTAGGAAGCATAAAACAGGGAGGATTGCAGCAAAGGCAAAAAAGTGAAATCCTATTTCTTTATTTTTATTTTTGCCAATTCTGAGCCTTGAACTCAGGACTTGAGCTGCTGTATGCTCAAAGCTAGAGCGCTACCACTTGAATCACAACACCACTTCCTCACTTCTGGCTTTTTCTGTTTATGTAGTACTGAGGAACTGAACCCAGGGCTTCATGCAAACACTCTACCCCTAAGCCACATTACAAGTCCCTGAAACCCTATTTCAAATTAGCTAATACAGAACAAGAGTAAGACACATGGCTCAGTGGCAGAATGCCTGATTAATAAGACAATGCAGAGTTCAAATCCAACTATGGCAAAAACAAAACAAAAATGAAAATAAAAACAAAAAAACAGGAGAGTGAAGGCCTCAACTTTTTCTCCCAACTAATTATTCAGAGATAACAGACTGTATTTAGATCTTTAAATTCACTTATTTTTCTGTTTTTTCCCCTGTGCCAGTCCTAGAGCTTTAACTAAGGGCCTGGGCACTGCCCCTGAGCTTTTGTACTCAAGGCTAGTGCTCTACAACTTGAGCCACAGCTCCACTTGCTTAAACTCCTTTCTTTAGGCTTAATGTTGAACAGTCATTTTAAAGTAGCATATACTCTCAGCTATTATTCTTCATGCTTTTCACAAAATTCACTTCAGTTAGCCACCTAATACTCCCTGAGTACTTGCTAGAGAGAAATTGACTTATAGATAAGTGAACAAAATGAATTCTTCTATTTCCACAATAATATCAAGCTTTGTTTCCTTCCTCAAAAAGCCTGTACCTCACTACATAACAATATAAATCATAGTTTGATTTATGTGTGTCAATAAAACCACTAGTTGTAGATTCACAGTTCCTTTGCTTTCTTCTACCTCTACCTTCAAAAGTCAGTTTTTTATTTTGAGATGAAGTCTCATTTTGTTTTCCCGGGTTGGTCTCAAACTCCGGTGCTCAAGGGAATCTCACACTTCAGTCTTCTAATAGCTGGCACTACAAGTATGCATTACAACACCAATTGTACAGTATTTTAAAAAACAGACAAAATAAATGTCTCATACCATAAAGAAAAGAAAAAAGGCATTTATCAAGTATACTACCATGCTCACCTTCTGTGTCATATTTGACTGTGAGAGATTATTGAAGATAAAAGCAATTTTCTCCTGAATATTTTCTGGGGGCTCCACAATTCTCTCAGTTTGATCTGTGGCCACAAGCAATGTATCTATATTTGTAGTATTGATGGAAGGCTAAAAAAAATAATAGTAATAATAATAAAAGACATGAGGTAACTTGAAATGCTTCCTTGGAAATACCTGAAGACTGTATAAAATCAGTTAGTATAAAATGGGTGCTGGTGGTTCACACCTGTAATCCTAGCTACTGAGGCTGAGCTCTAAGGATTGGAGGTAGAAGCCAGCAGGGGCAAGAAAGTCCATGAGACTCTTATCTCCAATAAACTACTCAGAAAACGCCAGAAGTGGAGTGGTGCTCAAGTGATAGAGAGCTAGCTTTGAGCACAAGGAAGTTCAGGGATAGCACCCAGGCCCTGAGTTCAAGCCCCAGGATGACAAAAAGCCAAACAAAATGATATACATGACATGACTGTGCAGTAGCAGAAGAATAGGATTATATCCAACTGTTAATAGTGGCTGCCTCTGGGAAATGAGAGGGAGGAGATACCGACAAGGAGGAATGCTGGTCTTTGTGGTTAAAATAAAATTAAAATATATGCTCGCTACTAGATATATTACACTAAATCTTGGGAGAGAGAAGAGACCTACTTACTGGCACGTCTTTCTTAAAGCTGACTCCAGTTGGCCTGGTGACTGTAACCGTTTTAGCAACAGTGGTGGTGGTTGAGGTGGTTACCATAGTGTTAACCTGACCAGCAAGAGGAGCTTTGGCTGGAACCTGGGCTTGAGCCTGGGCCTGAGCCAGTGCAATACTTCCAGGGGTTGTGATAGAGCCCTGCATTTTCACAGGTGGATCTCTAGATTGTTGTCCATACTCGATATACTAATGAATAGGGAAATGAAGCAAAATAAAAGAGTCCTTAGAACAGATTAAAACTTTTGATTGATAAGACTTTCACTTAATAATTTCAGAATTCCTTTGGTACATCTATGTTCCTTCATCCTTTCCCCGTTGTGGTTAATTACTATAAGCAGATAAAATACCATTGACTCCTGTGAAGATAAAATATTAGTATGCTAAATATTTATTAGAAAATACATCTAGCAAAGGAAATAGTAGACCAAAGTATCTGAAAATGAATTTTTTATCCATGAAATCTCCAAAATTTACGTAGCAAACGGATCCACTTTCAATGAACACTGAATAAACTAAAGCATACAAAACACACTATAGGCCAGGCGCTGGTGGCTAGATCACACCTATAATCCTAGCTAC